CCATCCTAAGTGCACACACACAGCAGTGAACACACACCCGGAGCATTATGAATGTATTAGGTTGTTTTAAATATTAAGCATTCAGCATATAAAACATATAACTGCTACAATATTTTACTTATATGATCTATTGTCATCGCTGAAACAGCGTCTGCCACTTGTTCCCATGTGCACACCTCCTACTTTCCATCCTGATATAATCAGCCTCCCAAGGAGAATTTTCTTCCCTGCAATAATAATTTCCTCAATGAGAACCTGCAGCTTTTGCCTATTGAAGTTTTTTTTTCCTCTCCAAATGCTTTCCAGTTTCCAATGTTGTTGCTACACATGTTGCAGCCTTTACATGTGAATGATTGTGAGGATTGATACTTAAAGGTTTAAAAATGATTTGGATTTAGATTTGGCTGTATTGAATTTGTTGTATTACACTACTGTCATTTTCTTCTTCTTTTTTTTTTTTTTTTTTCAAATAATGTTTTTTTAAGAATTGTACTTCAATTCTTTCAAGCTTTTTGCAGTAGATTTTGTCTATTACTTTCTTAAGAGTTGTTTTTACTGAATCCACCCCCTGATGACTTTTTCTTTCTGCACTGATGGGAGTGTTTTATAGCAGTATTAATTCTTGAGTTGAGCAGCTCTCGCTGCTGTCTGTAGAGGAAGAAGATGCTGGCATAGCAGACTTACAGCCCCATGTGTCTCCTCTTCTTCTGCTGAACCCACACATTTTACACACAGTCATTTTTTCTAATACAGACACAGCCATGGAAGTGAGTTTGTTATGAATGGGGTGGATTTACTTTTAAGGGGTCAGACAAACACATAATCTTCAATTTCATTGCATTGCATTTGAAGCACACTTTACTTCCCAAAGGTTGTATCTGTGAGATTTACATTGCTATAAATAATTTCTTAATCCGTTGTCATTTTTCTAGCTGTGGAAGTTACAGGACTTTAACTAACTTCACTCTCTCTGTGTGTCTTTACACAGAACTCAATGAACTTGCCTCCAGACAAAGCAAGATTACTACGGCAGTATGACAACGAGAAGAAATGGGAACTCATTTGTGACCAGGTAACACATTCTCTCCTTCTCTTGCCTCCTAAATTCTCACAGTCTTTCATCTAGAGTAAAGTGCAGCTACACTCTAAAAAATGCTGGGTTGTTTCAACCCAATGTTGGGTCAAATATGGACTAACCCAACTGTTGGGTTAAAAAGCTAATTTAAAAATGTAACCAAAATTTAACCCAACAGTTGGGTTAGTCCATATTTGACCCAACATTGGGTTGAAATAACCCAGCATTTTTTAGAGTATAGCAGCTAAAGAACTGAAGGTTAGGTAATCCCAGAGTGACTGAAAGGTTGCAGGTTTGGAACCGGCATGGGTTGATCTATGGACTAGATACATAACCTCAAGATACTACAGGGGGTATTGTCACCTGTAGTTCACCCCAAAATAAAAATGTTGTCATCATTTACTCACCCACATATCATTCCAAGTGTTATTTTGAACCCCTCTGACTTGTATTGGATTGACAAAACATCCTTCAAAATGCCGTTTTTTGTGTTCTGCAGAAGAAATAAAGTCATACCGGTTTAAAACGACATGAGGTTGAGTAAATGATTACAGAACTTTCATTTATGGCTAAACTTTAACATGGTGCCACATGTTGTGCCCCACAGAAATAAATTCCTCCGATCCCAGTCATGTATTTTAGATTTCGCGTTTTCAGTGAGACAAGTGTAAGCAATCTGTACTACACTGAGTCACTGTTTGTTCATCAGGTGACCTTGTGTCCCTGCAGACATAACATATTGTCTCAATCTTGTTCTCATGAAGACAACACAACTCGTCTGTTTTGTGTTTTCTATTCATCTTCCACTGTTTGTCCCATCCAACCAGTCATACTGACAGAAATGGTGAACTGTACTGGCCATCATGTGACCACCCCTGATAAATATTTTGTATGTTGAGATCACATGACCTGGCCCTACTACTACTACTAAAAACAGTAACAATAATAATAGGTTTGCTTTATATAGCTTTTTTTTAACATATATTTTTTTCTAGTATAGAAAATGCTTGTGGTTTTTAATACTAATGTTAAAAATGCTATACTGTCTCATATTTCATTCAGTGCACCCCAGACCCTAAGAAGAGTCTTGCTCTTGTGTTAGCTTCACACACACACACACACACAGGTTTGTTTTTGTGAAAAGTGGGGACATCCCATAGGCGTAATGGTTTTTATACTGTACAGACCGTATATTCTATTGCCCTACACCAACCCTACCCCTAAACCTACCCCTCACAGGAGACTTTGTGCTATTTCAGATTTTCAATACACTCCATTCTGTGTGATTTATAAGCGTTTTGAAAAGTGGAGACATGGGGTAATGTCCTGAAAAGTCACCTTCTCCTTGTAATACCTATGTCATACCTTTGTCATTATACAAATGTATGTCCTCATTTGTCACAAAAACGCACGCGCACACACACACACACACACACAAACACACACACACACACACACACACACATACACACACACACACAAACACACACACACACACACACACACACACACAAACACACACACGGGCCACATGTTAATGTCAATGTGATATCAGCGACTGCTGTGTTGTGTGTGTGTGCAGGGGCCTTGTGTTGTTTTGAAGGGAACTAGGTCTCTTCCTCTTTCCTGTTATGTGCTGCTGTTGATTGGCTGTTGCCAAGGGAAACATCCAAATGTGTGACAGAATGGAATACATATTTGATATGGAATATACTAAAACTATTATTATGCATAGTTATTATTCTTAAACTATTAATAATTAGTCAGATAAGATTAACAGATGACATAGCATATGTAAAAGGTAACTTTAGCGTGTAATTCTAAAGAAACTGTAAGGTATTACTTGTCACTGCAGTTATCAAGACAATTTTGGTTAAGTTACTACAACTAAATCAATTAACACAGAGATTTCAGTTTAAATTACATACAATATTGAGTTGTTTTAATGGTCAACTTGATTATATTAGCAGAACTCATCAAAACAAAATAATGCTTGCAACTTTCAATATTTAATAAAATCAGTAATTTATTTATTTTAATCTTGCAGCCATGCATTAAGTGGTGGTAAGAGGTCCCCTGAATTAATTTTTATTATATGGTGAACAGACCGTCTGATCACACAGAGACTGATATTGTTCAAGGAATCAGTGATTTGTTTTTTAATTGTCTCAAATAATACTGCAGTACTTTGTTCACTGCAAAATTAGCAATTGAACTCATATATGAAGTGAACATTGCAGAGTCGCACATGGTGCTCAACACTCCAATGAAGATGATAATGTGATAAACATCACTCCTATGAGAGTAAGAACTTATTTTAATCATGTCACAATGCATGCTGGGAGCTCACAAACTCTTAATAAACATAAACATAAAATTGTTCAGCAAGCGTTGTTAATCTCATTAGGACAACATTATGGGAATATTGAATGTAATTCACATTTATTGGTATCTATGACTCAAAAAGACCCACAAATGGGATCATCCTACTCCACATCCCTCACACACCCACAACGAATGCAAATATTTACTGACTTTCATACTCTAAAATCAGTAAAATGATGAACACATCTCCATATCTCTCTTTTCCAGGAGCGATTCCAGGTGAAGAATCCTCCTCACACATACATCCACAAGGTGCAGAGTTATCTCGACCCAGCCGTGACCAGGAAGGTGAGTTCTGGTCTTATTCCCTCAAATCCAGTGTGGAGCGTGTGTGTATGTGTTCAGGCTGGGATGGGTGACCTCAGATGGGAAATAGCTCCTGATAACTCATTTATCTTGACTAGAGTGCTGTCCTTATAGCTACACTGTGACCGCTGGGTATGGACAGGAACAGCTTGCATTCTACTTCCTGCTGGGGGAACCTTACTTCCTGCTTGGACACACTTGATTCCTGTGATAGAGATGTTACATCCTTCTTCACAGCTGATTTTTGATGTAGGGAAAGTGTCTAGCCTTAAAGTGGTCAAATATGAGAATAATTTAAAGAACTCAAAACAGGGTTAGTTCACCCAAAAATTAAAATTAGCCCATAAATTACCCACCCTCAAGTCATCCTAGGTGTATATGACTTTCTTCTTTCAGACGAATCCAGTCGGAGTTATATAAAAAATGCTCTTTGATCTTTCAAGTTGTTTAATGCCACTCAGCGGGTGTTGCATGCATCAGTCCAAAAGAAGTTAAATAAAATGTGCCCATCCATAAAAAAAAGTGACTCACACGGCTCCGGGGGGTGAACAAAGACCTTCTGTAGTGAATCGATGCGTTTTTGTAAGAAAATGATCCATATTCAAAAAGTAATAATCACTTTAATGTAGCTTGCGCTCACTGTTGTACACTGGAAGCAGTTCCAGGCGGATGACGTATGAGTTCAGCGTTGCGTATGCGCAGGTGAGTCTCGTGAAAACCAACGTTTGTTAACAGGAGCAAAGTAAGCAAAGTTTCCTTACTTTAGTCTCCTCTTGGCTTATATCGAAATCCTCCGACATTCTGCTTTACAAATCCTCGTATTGTACTTCTAATTAGAGACCGTTGTTTTGTTTTGATCTCTCCGCTGCGCTTCCGTGTTCGTCACTTCTGAGCGGCGCATGCGCAACGATGAACTCTTTCTCCTCCATGAAGATGCTGTGTGTTTCGTTGTGAAAGCGAAAATACTTTGTTTGGCCTTCCAAAAGAGGACACAACTAGAAATCAGTGGTTAAGTTGTATTTACAACACTGTTCCAGAACAGTTCAAACCAAATATTTGTGTGTGTGCAACGCATTTTACGGAGGAATTTTTAGAGTAGACTACAATACCGGCTTTTCTTACTCACAGTCTGTAAGTATGTTTTTATATTTAAAGGATTTGCCACTGATGATTCAAATGTGAGTTTTGAGCAGTGTAGAGTAGGGCTTGTTGTTTGTTGTTTCTCCGATCACAAATGCAGACATGGTTTTATGTTTACGCGGCGCGATGCAACGCAACGCGTAAAAAGACAGTACAAGTCATTATAATCCATAATTATGTCCCCACTGTGAGTCTCGTGAAAACCAACGTTTGTTAACAGGAGCAAAGTAAGCAAAGTTTCCTTACTTTAGTCTCCTCTTGGCTTATATCGAAATCCTCCGACATTCTGCTTTACAAATCCTCGTATTGTACTTCTAATTAGAGACCGTTGTTTTGTTTTGATCTCTCCGCTGCGCTTCCGTGTTCGTCACTTCTGAGCGGCGCATGCGCAACGCTGAACTCTTTCTCCTCCATGAAGATGCTGTGTGTTTCGTTGTGAAAGCGAAAATACTTTGTTTGGCCTTCCAAAAGAGGACACAACTAGAAATCAGTGGTTAAGTTGTATTTACAACACTGTTCCAGAACAGTTCAAACCAAATATTTGTGTGTGTGCAACGCATTTTACGGAGGAATTTTTAGAGTAGACTACAATACCGGCTTTTCTTACTCACAGTCTGTAAGTATGTTTTTATATTTAAAGGATTTGCCACTGATGATTCAAATGTGAGTTTTGAGCAGTGTAGAGTAGGGCTTGTTGTTTGTTGTTTCTCCGATCACAAATGCAGACATGGTTTTATGTTTACGCGGCGCGATGCAACGCAACGCGTAAAAAGACAGTACAAGTCATTATAATCCATAATTATGTCCCCACTGGATGCAACAAATGCCTCGTTTATAATGGGTTTTCATGTTTTTGTCTCATCGCTCCGGCCGGACAGGGCATCACAGTATGGTAAGGGGCGTAACATTTCCATCACACGCTTGAGGTATTCGGCCAATCACAACGCACTGGATAGCTGGCCAATCAGAGCACACCTCACTTTTCAGACCGATGAGCTTTGTAAAAATCTATGCGTTTCAGAAAGGCAGGGCATAGAGGAGAAACAATAATGTACAGTATGTGGAAAATAATGTGTTTTTGAACCTTAAACAGCATAAACACATTTCATTACACCAAATACACAACATAATGTTATTTTTTAGCAACATAATATGACCCCTTTAAAACTACATTGGCCTCGAGCAAAAGGGTGTTTCCATGCAAAAAAAACACTTTAAGAATTGGAAATTTGGCTCAAAACCTTGACTTAAGTGGGACCTCGGTGACATTATGATAATAAATTATGATGTCACCCCTGAAGATAAGTCATAAAAACTATAAAAAAAGAAGCTATGAGACAGGATGAGAGGAAAAGTAAGAAGAGGAGTGACAAGGACTTGGAAGAAAGAATGAGAGACTGGAAATGAACTGAAGACAGATGTGCTTAAATATTAAAGGTCAGATATTATTTTATATGGTGGTTTATGTGGTGTGGAATCTGAAGGTGTTCTTGAGCTGATCTCATGGGCGTTACATGCCGACGGCTGACATCATGTCCCTAAGCTGACAGAAAGAGAGAACAAGAAAGAAATAAAACAGAGACCATGGGATGGGGGATTATTGGGAGATGTGGTGAAAGAGAAAAGGAGGACGAAAGACTTGAGACAACATAAAAAAACTGAGGGAAACAGAAAGTCCCAGAGAAAGTAGAGGATGAATATAACAGACAGAGAGGGAGAGAGAGTTATGGCTGTACGTTCTGCCAATGGCTCTTTTCTGCAGACGTGAACAATTGTTACTTTGTGTGCGCCGAGAGCTTTATATACGGTGCATTCCACGCGCAGCTCTCGGCCAATGGGATCGCAGCAGGAAGAGGGTCATTCCAGAGGGTCCTGAGGAATGTCTGTGCCATTGATTCCAATCCAGGATGACCTCTCTGGAGAACTGCTTTCTTTTTCCCATTCTCTCTCTCTCTCTCTCTCTCTCTCTCTCTCTCTCCGCAGCTGGGAATGCTTAAAGTCGAGGTGCGAGCGTGAGCTCTGAAAACATACACTGCACTCCACATGTACCAAACACACCCACACTGGGAACAACAGAGTAAAAAAGAAAAATGTGCAATTTAGTATCTTGCGCTTATATTCTAGGTTCATCTGCATGGCTGTATATAGTATGCATCATCAGCACACACTCCCCTCCGTTTCTCTATTCTCACCATTTCTGTTGTGTTTATGCATCTGTCTCTTTCACTTTGTCCCTTTCTGTGCCAATTAGCATAATATCCATCCTAAATATTATTTAGAATTATAATTAGTCTGTAACATATTATAGTATAGTACAATTATAAGCCAGAAGTGCACAGGTTGTACAATTGTTCAAGTGGACTTTTTAATTGTGATGGTTTGTGATTGTCTTCTGATTGACTTTTTATAAATGCATGCTTTTAGCTGAAAGTATAATGAACTTTAGAAGTCAATTTGAAATGGCATTTACTTCACTAATCTGACATATTCTCAAAAATGTAGAAAATGTAGACCGGGATTTTATTTAAGTAAATGTCTCTACTTCAGTTTGTTCAGGAGAGGTTAAAATATGGCGACCATACGTCCTCTTTTTCCTATTTTTTACTATTATAATAATATATAATAATAATAATAATAACAATACATTATTCATAATAACATTCAAAAACAATGCATACTTTTATAGCATGGTTATTATGTCCCAATATTGGTGTAGGCTATTATTTTGTTACGTACTTAAAAGTATACATTCCTATCACCATCTAAATACATACGTGAAGCATATAGTATAAGAATGCGAATTATGTCTGTTGCTGTCTGCATCCCTCGCTCTTTTTCACTGTCATTCCCTCTCTAACACCGTTTGATGCAATAATTTCAGTGTCTGACATCAGTGAATCAGATTGGTTATTAATGCCTGGCCTGCCACTCATCGTCATGGCTGCCGTCTAATTAGTATTGCAGAACTGCAGCAGCAGTTTCCAGTTAAGATTTGGCAACGTATCTCATGCAGCTGATGAAAGCAGTGTGTCTCTCTCATTGGACGGCGGTTTCACATGCATTTCACCTGACACGTGATTGGGTCGGCCACAAAGCTGCTGTAACCATGGCTACAAAGAACAAAACTGGGCCCACAGTTTGGACTCAACACTATTATGAGACTGACTAGAGAAAGCAGCCAAGTACACCCATTACTTTGAACATTTTTTCAGTCCTTTAATTTTTTATGATGCCAGAGTTTTTAGATGAGTGAATGTGACAGAGAATGTGTCTTGGACATTGTTAAATTTACCCAATTATGTTTCATTTAAGAATCACTTCATCTCTGATTTTTAAATAATAGGTAACAATTAATGATTGAAATGTAGATAAAATGAAAGAAATACAAATATATGCAAATTAAGCCATAGTTGACAAACATAGAGTATGTTTGCGTTCATGCTGAGATCTTTTGATTGCAGACTTTGGCATCTTTGGAAAATCTGAGCACACTTTGAGACATTGTTGAGATCTCTCCATAAAACTCTACATTAAAAAAAAAGTAAAATGAGTGGGTGAACTTTCGATTTCATTTCCATTTCATCATGACTGTAATGCCTGATAAAGCAGGTATATATATATGTAGCGTCTGCGTAGGATCATGCATGATAGTTGGACTGTTTATGGCTTAAAAGACCCCTTTTAGCCTTTTGACATTTGCATATAAATTACAGTTCTGGTCAGGAACTTTACGTTCGTATAAGGGGTGTAAATTGCCAAATGGTTCTTCGCCGTCAAGTAAGATTAGAACCAGCCCCACGAGCATCCTGCAATCTGATTTCAAACACATTCCACAAAAAGCT